TTTGTCACAATCATTTATTTAAACGTTAAGCGCAGTCTGAGCGTGGCTGCTGTGAGGTGAAGTCCTGGCCAGCACCTAAAGGACCCCGTCATTCACTCCGCAGGAGCTGCACTGGATCCGAGGAGCTGGCACAAACACATAACTCACAAGGATGGCGCACTGCAGTTGAGCTGGGCGAGCCCCAAGCCCACGATTTGCACCCACTTCAGCTGCTCCCTGGCATGTTTTATGTTTTCGCTCACTTTCTGACACATTTTCGCACATATTTCGCCTTTATTTGCAGGGCGCTCCTGGGGGCGAGCTGACTTTGAGCTGCCCCTGCAGCTGAACCTTCTGCTGGACCTTGATTTTCCTGCCTTGTGCCTTGCTCGTTATGAATAATGAGTTTCGCCCGCTGCAGTGCTCATTGCCGACTTTCGACTTAATTAAAGTTCTTAATGAGTTTTCGGTCTCGCAATCGATCAGGCTGAGCCGGGGATTGAACCGCCAAGTCCACGCCGCCTTTGTCCCGCCCTGGAAGACAAAACTTGCCACACTGTATGTGACAGGGATTTGTCTGTGCCCCACATAAGTGTCTTGCCAACATGTGTACTTCGGTCCCGGTTCGAGTTCATTTGGTTGCCAAGTTGGCGGAGTGCATTCTGCCGCATCCGCAATTCGTTTTGCGGTCCGGGTCTCCTCTCCTATTTGTCCTGAATATATGAGTGTATATAGCTATTTACTCTGCATTCTTAGACACTTTTTTCTGCGGCACATCCCCTTTTTCCCTCCAAGTGCATGCTGTGAACAAATTCATGGCATTCCGCCGGCTTGGCTTTCCTGTGTCGGATTTTGTGTGAATCTGGTTGGTATTCGCTCTATGCCAAAAAGTAAACAATTTGCACAAAGCATTTTGCATGCTGCCAGCTTTTTTACGTGCTTCTCCATCGTAAGACTGATTAAGAGTTGCCGTTTGCCCCCCACCTGTTGTTTGGAGAGTGTGTGTAAAGTAAAGTCAGTTTAAGATCATAAACTGAATTTATATCGGAGGTGTAATCCCTTATAGTGAGCACTAAGAGTGTCACGTATCTGTATAATCGGTCATGGACAATTAGGTAATTATTTTATAGGGCATTTAATTAATTCATTTAAAGGTATTACACTCGACAGGTAATGAAAACCGAGCATAATCGCCATTGGCTTTTGGCTCTCGAGCTTAAATGTAAATAGACAATGACTTCCTTGCCCTGGGCCCCAAATTAAACGCATCCACCCGCACAGGGATGTCGTGGCGTTGAGCTTGAAATGCAAACCCACAGAGTCACTGGCCACTTAATTGCATAATGACCCAGAGCCGGCATTTAATCAGCTCGTTTGTCAACAAAGTGCAAGTATAATCAGCTTGGGCAGTGCTCGCAGGGGTGAGCGGGAATATTAAACTCGGAGCCCGTCGAAGATTTGCTCGCCTTGTCAAACGCTAAACTAATTACGTATACGCAATGTGATTATGGGCTTGCAACTGATTAGCCTTCGTGGGGGAGCCTGTAATACGCCGCTAAGTGTCCACAACGAGACCCACTTAACGGGATGCCTTAAGCCGCCATAATGACCCGCACAAGGACCATCTGCACGGGCCCAGAGGATGAGGAGGAGCATATCGAATAAATAAAAACACAGAGTGCTCGGCGGCCAAACATTTGTTGACATATTGCGGATTTAAAATGATTTGTGGCTGCCAATGCCCGGGAATTAAACAAATACATTTGAATAATGGCAAGCAATCAGCAAACAAAACGCAAGACTGATTGCCGGCAATAAAAGTGGACCATAAAAAGCGATAACATCATATTTATAAGCGCCGCCATATTCCCCCTTTTCCTCTCCCACGAGACCATCTCTCAAGGCGGCGGAAAGCGTTGAAAGCGATTATATGCGTAAATATAAAAATGGCAAAAAGACAAATAAACGACAGTAAACGGCCAGCCAAAGTATTCCTCAAGCGCCTCTCGTCCCATTCCATGGCCCCCTCAACGACATCCCTAAACCAAAAAAAAAAAGAAAAAATAAACAAATGGAAAAATGGCCAACAAAAATGATGGGATCATAAAAAGGGAAACCAAAGAAAAGCTCAGCCTGGACCAAAGTTACAGTGGATTGAAGCAGGAAAATTTTGCAGCAATCAATATAAATGATTCTTATCGAAATTAAGGAAAAAAAATATCTCTTTCCGATATGGGAAATCCACTCTGTATACAAATAAAATTTCATACGATGATTTAAAATGGAAATTCAAAAAGACTTGAGTAATTTTAAAACATCTCTCCGTAGAAGAAGACCCTTAAGTTTTTAATAAAAAAGTAATTTAATTGCCTTACAATATTATAAGTTAATTATGAACATTAACTCTGGATTCCTTACCTTAGTTTCTTCAAGTCCTGGTATTTATTTTTTTTGTGTTAAATTAGTAAACAAGATAATAGCGAAATGGTTATATAGCTATTGAGAAGAAATCATTGTACAATGTTTTCAGATTTTGACCGTATTTTCTTAACCTTCTAATATTAACTTAGATCATTCTTTGATTCAGATCTTTCTTTATTCATAGTGCTTCCTTTATTCATATGCTTCTAATATGTCCCGTCATTTTGAAATAAAAGAAGTCAAATTTCAAAGGGGATCCCAAGAAACATAACTAATATTTATAAATTCATTCTTTTTGAGCACAAAATACAAATTTACAAGTACAAGGTTAATTTTCACTCCATTTTTTACCTACCACAACCACAGTGCCTTAAGTTTATTTGCAGCCATTGCCGAAAATCGAGTAGGCGGCACGTCTGGCCGAAGTTTTCTTTTGTGCGCTCTTTGTTTATGACGACCATTTGGTGTGTGGAGGCTTTCGAGATAAGGCTGGTGAATGGGAAGGTGAAGGCTGCTCCTGGCCGGGCCAACTTACCGTCCCCTCGCACCTTTCACCCCCTCTCCATGATCTGCTTTAATGCCGCCAATAACGTGAAAATGGTCGCTGCAGTCTGCAGGCCATGCAGCAAAGGCTTAGCATTAAGTCAGTCCATTAAGCTGCACTTTAAGGGGGCCTGGGCCAGAAGTATGCCAACGATTTCAAAAGTTTAAAATATACACAAAAATAGTCAAATAGTACAACAGAAATAGCTTAGCAAATTTGCTTTCAGTTAAGCGTTGATATTTTAGTACAGGGTATAGGAAGCATTTTGATGGAACATCGATACCATTTGCAAATTATAACTATAGATCATAATTTAAGTTTTAAAATCGTGTGATCAGCATGAAATATCTCACAATGGTAAAATATACTTATCAATTTAAATATTATTCACCAGTTGGTTGAACTTTGTTTTCCTGTTTTACCACTGAGAGGTATCAAATACTCCATCCTGAACGAAGAACACCATCGTGCTCACAGGGCAAGCCCATTGAAAGTGGCTGGCACTTTTCAGCTCTGGCATTTCCCGCCGCGTTTTGTTTGCACAAAGCTCAAAAGGCGGTTTGGGGCTGTTGGTCGAAGGTTTAGGGGGCTTTGGCGCGGAGTTTGCCGCCGTCCAGCCTGATAAATTGAATGGTCAGTTGCGTTTGCACAAAGAGAGAGCTGGTCCTGGGTGGGCCAGGTGGTTTTCGGAGGCCTTTCCTCCTGCCGGACAAATGAATGGAACTCTGACTGATTACCCGGTGCCTGGAGTCGCGAGTAGATGTCACGTGAGCTTTGTTTGCGAAAGTAACTGAGCACCAAATGGGAGATAAAAAATTTAAATGTCAATTGCCAGGCCCCTTTGCCCAGAGAGCACATTTAAGTCGGGGCATTTTATTTATTTATTCCTCCACGACCAAAGAGTCAGGGACAAATCCGGCGACGATGAAAGGCCGCTCATTAAATTGCAAAGGATAAAGGAAACTACATTCAAATAGCAGAAATCTGCAGTGCAAGCCGGCGGGGTGAACATGAACATGAACAGAGGAAGGAAGGACAACTGACAGGCAAAAAAAAAACGCCAGCTAACTGGGCGAAAAACGTGCTAAAACGTAAATCAACGGCGAAATTCGTGTTGAGCATTTTTTGTAGCTGAAAAGGCATAAACAGCAGCTGCTCCAGGAGGAGAAGTGAAGCTGAAAAGTGCCAGCACAAATGTCAGAAGCGTCGGGGGAGCGGATCCTGGGTGGTGCCTTCTGGTGGGTGGTGGGTGGAGCCAATGCCCGGTGGCAGAAAGCGTTAGCAGTTGTCCAGATGAAAGGAAAGAAGCCGGCCAGGCTAACGTAATTCAATATGCGGCGCCATGTTAAAAGCTGTAAAAATGCTTAAGCGTTTTTCAATTTCCCAGTTTTATGTTACGGACAACGCTTGTAGCGCTCTTCAAAGCGAATGAGATTTGCTGCCAACTCAAATTTCTTGAACTCATTTGTAAAGTGTCTGTGGAGGACAGGAAAAGGGGCAAGGACAGAGGCGAGAGGAGATTTGTCTGGTTGTCCGTGAAAGCGAAATATACTTTCCCATTTCGTAAAAACTAAGAAAGCAAACACTCTGGGACTCTCATGCTAAACAGTACACTTTGGTGTGGCATTTTTACAAAGTTTTTATTCGGAAAAGTTCTCCTCCTCCACCCATAACCTTTACCTCTTAGAGCCAAATTGCTGCCGCGCTGGAACAGGAAAAGTTTCGTTGCAAACGGGGGAAAATGCCAACGCTGCCAGAAACAATTAAACTTGAACTTTTGTCATAGAACGAGTGCAATAAATGAAACTAAAAACAAAAATCTGAAAGCGCACCAGCCATTTGTGCCGTATCAGCAAAACATGGCGACAGCCACCATTGCAGCCTGTCCCCTGTCCAGGACGAAGTTTGGTTGGCGTGGCTAATTAATTTTTATTTATTAGTTCCCACACGGTGCGGGCAGCCGAAACTCAGTTTTCTAATTTAATAAATTCGCCGGTGGGGAGGTTAAATTAATTAAACGCTCTAACCCTCTCAATTTCACTCGTTTCTCCTGCAGGCAAACACACGCGCCTGGACACGCAGCAGACGGCCCAGGAAGGTAATTAATATGGTCGAATTCCTTCTCTGTCGAGGGTCCCAAGGGGACGTATGCGCAATGTGCCGCAGTGCAGCCAAGCAGGGCAATAAGGACTTGTGCAAAAATCTGCAAAATATCTCTACGGGTTCCCTTTCCAGGGAACAGTTAAATCAGGACAAAATTAACTAATTTAAACTGTGTTTCCGCACTGCCTTTGCTTGTGTCTCTTCCAGATTCCGACTTTCCACGCTTCGCGGAACCGATTGCCAATGTCACCGTCTCCGTTGGACGCGATGCCCTCCTGGCCTGCGTGGTGGAGAACCTCAAGGGTTACAAGGTGGCCTGGGTGCGGGTGGACACGCAGACGATCCTGTCCATTCACCACAATGTCATCTCGCAGAACAATCGCATTAGCCTGACCTACAACGACCATCGATCGGTGGGTTAAGCCTTGAGACTATTTGAGACAATTTCTTAATCTGTGCTTACAGTGGTACCTGCACATCAAGGAGGTGGAGGAGACGGATCGTGGGTGGTACATGTGCCAAGTTAATACGGTGAGTTGAAAGAGTTTTGCATGGGAACGCAGTAAAGGTTGCTAATCTCTCTCTACCTCTTCCCTCCAGGATCCAATGCGCTCCAGGAAGGGCTACTTGCAGGTGGTGGGTGAGTACTGACACTAATCCAGGCCACTGGCCATTGGCTGCTGACCTATAGTGACCCTTGGCCTTCGCCTCTCGTTTCCGGACAGTTCCCCCGATGATTGTCGAGGGCATGACCAGCAATGACATGGTGGTGCGCGAGGGTCAGAACGTCTCACTGATGTGCAAGGCACGTGGCTATCCGGAACCCTACGTCATGTGGCGCCGCGAGGACGGCGAGGAGATGCTAATTGGCGGGGAGCATGGTAAGCGACCCTATTCCACCGCACTGCACTCGGCTTAACCTGGTCCTGGTCCCATTCTCTCCCATCCCAATCTGGCATTCCGACAGTGAACGTGGTCGACGGCGAGCTGCTGCACATCACCAAAGTGAGTCGCCTGCACATGGCCGCGTATCTGTGCGTGGCTTCCAACGGAGTCCCGCCATCGATTAGCAAGAGGGTCCATCTGCGTGTGCAATGTGAGTAAATGTCTAGTGTTAACGTTTATCCACGAGTAGTGCTACCCTTTGACCCATTGAGTGACCCAAATTAGTGGACCAGATCGGCATAGGAGAGAGGATGTAGAGGTGGGGGAATCCAATAAGGACAACAAAAGCAGGAACTTTAATTACACCCTTCTCAACCTATATGACCGACTCTGCATAAAATAAAAATTATAAAAATTATAAATACAAAAGCTGATTAAAAAAAGTTTCTGCACAAACATTAATTCCATATAAAGCCTACTGACATTGTTTAAGCTTGCTTTCAGTATTATTTTTGTAAATTTAAAAGTACTTCTCTCAAAGTAACCAACTTAAAAGCTACAATCAACAGTATTTTTTTAAATGCCATGCAAAAAGAACTCTCCAGAAATATCATAAAATCCATTTGGGGCTGAACACTTTTGGAATATTTATAACCAGCTCCGGGAGAGGAGTGCAACGACAGGGGGCAATGGAATATGCGCCACTGACGGAAGCTGGACTCAATGCGTTAAATATACAAAACAAGCCGACGACCCTCCGTCGCTCCGATACATGTGGCCAATGCAGCTTTTGGGGCAATAACCGCAACGCGTCCTCAGCATTCGCATACAGACGAGATGCAGATGCTGATGCTGATGCTGATGCTGATGCAGGTGTAGGGCCTGGACTGGCCTGGTGAACCCCCTTGGCCGAAAATCGACCAAAAGCTGCAGTCACGTTAAATTAATTTACCTGCGAGAGTTTGTCAGTGCGTGTCCCATGTCCTCGGGCTGCCTGCAATAGAGATGGGCTACTTACATGACTTTAGACTTTAGCTTAAAAAATATATAAAACCCTGAAAATAACTCACTGATTTATCTCAGCAGAAAACTGATTGTCAGCCAATCTTAAGATAACAAATTCTTGACTTGAAAAATTAAGTACCAATTGAGAAATATAATAACAGTCTCAGTCTTATGGTTACTTTAACCACGTATACGATTTTATTTTGGCAAAAACCTTTACTACTCCTTCTCCCACCTCTAGTACTGATGCACTGAGCTCATTTCGCCTTGTTTGCTGGCGTTTGTTTGTTTGCTCGTCGGCAGGTGTTATTTTGTGCCCCCGTGATGTGTGCGTGGCCAAAATGCGTTCACCGTTCGCAGAGCTGCTTTTGTTGTTACTGGCGGCCAGCTCCCGCACACAACCGCTTGCCTCAGTATCAACAGTGGGAACAAAAGCTATTTACGCACACACGCCCCGCACACACACACCAGCACATACACACCCTGGATGGGCGAGATGGATGGCCATGTCCGAGCTACAATCACTCGCTCCCAGGCGCACTTTTAATGACTGAGTGCATTTTAATCCAAAAACAGTTTGTAAACTCACGTAAAATGGAATGCAAAATTTATCGGGGACCCCGTAAAGCTGATGTAAAGCCCGTGACGAGTACGGAGAATGGGTTGGGTTTCCGGAAAACGCTTGCACGCTGTTTCGGGTGTTGAGAAAACAATATAGTAAAGAGTTTTTCGGAGGAAACAATACCCGATTTCAGGGATATGCAAATGCAGTTTTGAGTGCTCGTCAACGGTTTTTAATCTTTGCATAAATTAAGAAAATTGGGTGGTCATTATGAGATAATATCTGTAATGTTAATGTTAATGCAACATAAAGCTTACCTCTTATAAATGATTTGCTTTCATCACAGTTCCCCCGATGCTCTCGATACCCAATCAACTGGAGGGAGCCTATGTGGGTCAGGACGTGATCTTGGAGTGCCACACGGAGGCCTATCCAGCATCGATCAACTACTGGACCACGGAGCGCGGCGACATGATCATATCGGGTAAGTCAAGTCAATGAGGGAACTCAACCGTTCTGACCATGGCTTACACTCTGTTCCGTATCAGAAGTAATGGCTGTAAATTAAATGAAGTTGAAGAGCCGCATTTACGCTGTGGAAAGCGCTTGCATATGAGCTTACAATGTAATCAACATACGGACTCCTCCTCCACCTCCTCTTAAGTTCGGTCGGCGGAAAATTGTCAGGCGAAATGCCAAACAGAGAGCGGCAATCCGAAAACTCGCTTCAGTAGCGAATGTGAAAACCCCGAGTGGAGCTCAGCCCATTTATTTCGCTTTTCACTTGCGAGGGGTTTTCCACTGAATGTTGATGCGGTGTCCTTTTTTATTGTTTTACATGGCAGCTTCACATCCCTTTCCCATGCAGTGGTCCGTCGTAAAATGCGTTGCTCATACGCACTGTGCGCCAGGCTTAACGCAGAGACATTGTGGCACTGTGAACTGCACAGCCTTAAAGCGTGTCGTCTTTACGAGATGACGTTTTCACAGTTTTCACACTTTTCACACTTTTCACAGGATTGACAACTGACAGTTCATAAGAGCGAGCCGAAAAGTTGAAATCAGTCAAAAACAGAACCAACCAATATGTCCCAACGATAGGATTCTGCAAGCAATCTGGCATATTAAAAGGAGTTCAGAGACTAAAAGATATCTTTATTGTTTTTGTTAACCTTAACTCACATTAACCTTAAAATTAAGGCCAAAAATAAATTTCCTAGATTACTTTCTGCGGTCTCATTTCTTCAGTTTTGCCTTAAAACTTCAAATTAATTAAATTGTTCAAGATAAAAATAAAAATTATATATATTTCCCTTGTAGGTTCTGTAATTGTAAAACTGATTTCAGAATTATAATAATTTTGTATAACATTATTAGTACAATATTAATTTTATAATGCACACCTTTTAACATTTATAACTTAACATTCAGTAGACCCAATCTTTGGCATTTCAAACAATTCCTCCAAATTCTTATTTGATTATTGGATCAAAAATAGATACAGGACATTGTTGAGAGCTCAGCCACGAAAACAAGTGTACATTTTAAATATTCAAATGCACAAAGCCAGTGTAGTACAGTGTAAGCTGAAAACTAAATACACATTGAATTTAAATAGTCAAACATACTGAATAACATACTTGATGCACTGAAAATGGGCAATGTGAAAATTAAATACATTGGTCGAAATCGATGCGGAGCGCAAATTAAATAAAAAGTTGAACGCCAGCGGAAAATTCTATTTTGCAACGGAAATTATTTTAACATAACTGGCAGGCAGGCATATGAGGGGGAGAGATTGGTAAATGTACAAAACAGAAATGCGTCTAAATGATGCTGCATAGATGGGACTCAATGCCGGAACTCATAATTCCCCGTCAATGTAGCCATATAATACTGGGGGCATGCCCCCACAGAGTGTGTGGATGTGCATTTATGATGGCAACACACTTTTAATGGCACATCATGGCCTATACTTTAACATTTAAATAACAAAACTGGTATACCAATAATACTGAATTTAATGATATTTTATTTGCTTATTTTTCAATCAAAAGAGAACGGGAATATTTACATATATAAATAATATAAATAATTCGTTTCTATAGACCTTGAAATCCATGTTGCCGTAAGACAGCAATCCAATGCAGTGTAAGCCGAGTCCATGACTCATTGATGGCAGCCTATATGCATAAAAATTGAGCTATATATATATAGAGCAGCCTTTGAAGGACTGTCATTTGGTTCCATTTTATGCTTAAATGTCACTTTGTTTGTTCGATAAGAAAGAAGTCACCGGCTTAGGCATAGCTCTAGGCAAAATTATGGCCAGGACTTAGCTGGCCGAGGTAGGAAAACTGAGGCGGGAATATGACATTTCGTATGCACACACGCACAGGCGACAAACTGAGGGAAATGCGAAGCAAGATATAAGATATGAAGGCAGCGGCCATGATGTATGGCTAACAGACACCAAAAGTTTGGGTAATAAATTTTAAGCGCTTTCGCATAGAGTTCTCTATAGCTGTCTATGAACTGGAACGAGAGTAGTTTGAGAAGAATAGCGCTATTGTTTTTATGGCATTTCTTTGTTTTTCCTTCCAAAGTCTTTATATGTATATATTTTTGTGGTAAATTATTGCGTCTGCAAGAGATATTTATCTCTGGTGCAGTTATCTCGATAAAAATAAGGAATATTTTAGTTTTGAGACGGGTTCAAATTGAAACTTCCTTGTCCTCGGATTTAAATGCTATGCTCAGATAAATGCAGTATGTTTTTCAAATATCCTAGTTATTTAAAAATAAATGTTACTCATGTTAAAGCGGCCCTCGCTATGTCTGCGACATATGGCGTATGTCATAGCCATATAGCATATATATGGCCTGCAGGACAGGCAATCCTACAAATAGTTCAAGAAACCGAAACTTTCGTTTAATGCGGCTGTGGCATTAAAAGTATAAAGTTGCTTGGAAGACGTGGCAGGCAGGGAAAAGAATTGCTGCCGCCGATGATTATGAGAAAAATTATATATTTGCGTGTCAGAGGAACTTACATGTGGCCCCGCGGATAGTCGTGGCACGGGATGGATAGCTGGAAAAGTATCACAAAAGGTGACTGGGGCTATAAAAAGAAGCCGCGAGTGCGGGTCACATGCAAGTTGGGTGCCGCAGGGAAAATTGTTTTTCCCCATTGTTCTCCAATGGGGCTGCCGAAACCGAGCCGAGAAGGAAGCAGGAAAAACTAAAGACATTTGTCACAAATACACACACCACACACACATGCATGTACAAGGGACAACATGACGTATGGGTAACATGCGATATCGCCTTACAATGCGCCAAACAATCAAAGTGAAATTAAGTTTATATATTTAATGCTACTTACTGTCAGCCAGGCATTTGCCCAAAAAACAGTCCAAAAATACAGGCAGCGAGCCCAATACGAAATGGAACGAAATTAAAGCCGCAGCCAGCCAGAGAACAAAAGTTTTTCTTTTAGATTTTCACTGATTAATGAGAAAAGTTTTAGTCAGCGACGGCAATGGAAATAGCTGAGGAACTGCGCCAGTTTTAATTACACACACACACACACACTCTCTAGGAAGCGGAAGAGGCAGCAGGGGCGAGGGTATAATTAGTTGGAGTCTCGATTGGGAAAGCGACTCACTTCACTGCCCATAAGCGGCAACAACTAACAACAGGCTCCACCCCTGCAGGTGACATTAATTAATTGATTTTCCCCATATATATAATATTTTCCAGCCATAACGACGCCGCACGCGTCCCAGTGGCGGCACAGAAATTGTCACTGTAAATTATTGCACACTTTTCCGCATTTTTCGCACTTGCAGACACCTCGCGGGCCGGCGATAAATACGAGACCACATCAACGGTCAGCGGTTACACAAAGTACATGAAGTTGAAAATCCGAGCTGTGGGTCCCAACGATTTCGGCACATATCGCTGTGTGGCCAAGAACTCCCTGGGAGAGACGGATGGCAACATAAAACTGGATGGTAGGATCTCTGCTTCAACCAAATTTATATTTTGATTCAAAACTAATACCATATCCTTTTCAGAGATGCCAACGCCAACCACAGCCATCATTTCGGAGATGGCCCTGCTGAATCGCAGTTATGGTAAGAGTCAATTAGTTAATAAACATAAGGGATGCTTTTTTTTAAAGCCCAAACTAGAATGTCCCCAGTCCCCAGTCATTAAGTCCGGTTCAGAGGCATTCGATCAACTCGCTAATTGAATAAATATCAGCCCCAAACATCACAGCACATTTTTTGCCTGGTCATGAATAATTATGTAATGCAATAATGGGGTTTTAATTTTATGCACTGCAAAGCACAAAATCACAGTCAGCACTACACACATTGAAGTGGTTCATGAGAGCACATAAAATCATCATAACAGCCATTAAAGTCGACTCCATCGATAGGGGGTGGGAGGGAAAAACTATCATGGGAAACTCTAGAAACTAAAACACGAAGGTACTTGCTATATTTTCACCTTGCCTTAACCTCAAGAAATTCACTTTGGGTGGTCCTCCGACTTTAACCCGGCTAAACGGTGGCGATAAGCGGCCCAAAATTGCAGTAATCAACGCAAATAGCCAAAAACACAACAACAGAACATACATACATGACTGCACCACATTCCTCATCCATTGACCCCACCTCGTATCAAGTCAAAGTTGCATGCAATTTCTGTTTTCCTTTTGGCCCTCTTGTTGGTTTTCCTTTGGCTGTAGAGACCAACCCCTCCCCCCCCCCCCCTTCTAAATGCAAATAAATGCGAAATTAAATAAAAATACCCTAGCATACAATTACCGCTGGCATCGCTCTGCAAATGTGTATAACTAAATTTCTTTCTGTATGGTTTCACTCTCTTTTTTTTTCTTTTTGGGTTCCGAAAAACTTCCCTCCATTTGAATATATATCTTTCATGTTATGCCCTCTCCAACCAACAACAACAACAACCACCGTCAACAACAACAACAACAACTACAACAACCAACAACCTATTCACGAACCGCGCTATCCCGATCTCTCCCTGAAATATACACCTGACTGATGCTTGCTGCATAAAATTAAAAACATCTAAAAAACATAAAGATGCCAAGAGACGTCATAGAAATAAATTTGAGGCGGGCAACACTCTGCCTGATTATGGGGTTGAGGAGTGGCGTGACGGTGCCCAAGGTAAGTACTATGTACATCTCCTGCTGCACATCGTTTCATCTGTCCCAGGTATCCCCTTAGCCTTTATCCAACCATCTTTGCCTTAGTGGCATTTTATGGCTATACATATTTCTGTTTTGTCCATAATTTGCATTTTTGCCTCGCGGAGTCAGCGTGTTGCACTTTCCTTTCCGTTCCTTTCATGCCATTCAAACCTGAAGTACGCCGCCGTGTGATCTCATAATTTGAATGCTCTTCACATTTTCCTTGGCCGAAAACTTGGACTGCGCATAATACGGCGAACCCCACCCGTTGGCCCGAAGTGTTTAGCACAAAGGTTAAAAATTAATTAAACTTTCTGTTCTGTGCGGACTGACTTTTGCAATTCCCCGCCTTTCATGGCGAAAACAAATTGCACTTCCTGCTGCCGGCATCTTAGACTCGAGAGGACAGCAATAAATACGGCTTATAGAGCCATAAGTTGGATAAACAAAGGATGAGAAATTTGAAAAGCTAGACAGGAAAGTCAAAAAAATACTTATTTTTTTAAGCTAGGAATTAATACAGATATAAATTCATGTTGTTGATTTTAATGACTCCCTTGCCGTATCATCAATGGAATCAGATTTATGAAACATTATAAAAAATGAACTACAGCTTCATAATCCAGATAATTCCATTAAATAACCCTTTAAACCATCGAACTTTAGCTGCACATTGGAAATTAAAATCGTTTAACTTAAAGTGCCTGTTTAAAAATGACATGAAACTAAAAACGCAAAAAGTAAAATGTAAAATGCATTTTATTCCATTCCAAATTCATTTGGAGGTTAGATATTTAACCCGCTGCCTGTCGCTTCGTGTTTGCGGTTCAGTGTTTTGATCCCTTCTGTGGCAAAGTCAAACACTTTTTGCAGCAATAAAATTGCAACAGCAACAGAGGCAACAACAAGTGGAGAACAGCAATAAAAACTAGCGACATTGTTGATTGACACTGACATTCTGGCGATGGCGGCGACAAAGTCCATCTGGTCGCGAATCTACCCAATGTTTGCGAATGCAAACTCTAAGCGGAGGTGAGGGTGGACACACATCCTGTTGCATACGCTTTATGGGCTGTCAAATTTGGCGGCTAAACGACCTCCGGATATGACAGTGGATGTATGCAAAACAGAGCACCGACCGCACCCGGCAAATTAGCCATAAACATTGGCTTTGCACATTTTCTGGTGTCCGCTCTTAATCCTTATTGAATTACCAACCGAAACAACCAACTTGAATTATTCGGTTTCCCTTTTTTCGGTCTTATTTTCCACTTGTGTTTATTGCATTTAAAATGCAATTATTTAAGGCACGCGTCTGTAAAATGCCGTCCAACCGACTGCACTAATGAACTGAAGCCCCAACTGGCCCAGAGGGGCGTGGCGGCCCAACTCCGATCCTGGCCAGGGTCCTGGATCCGGAGGCATTCGTGCATTGCAAGCAGCCAAATGGGAGAAAAGCGGAGAATGCAAAAAAGAACAGACACAATGTCTGTTCATTGTGGGCGAGTCCTGCCGGTGCCAGAGCTGGGGTGTCTGGTTGTCTGGGGAAGGGTTCGAAAGCTCGAAAGGATTTTCTCTTGGAGGGCCGTTGACTTTATTGATTCAACATTGGACTTTGGTGCTCCAAGTTTTTGGCTTCGCCCGCGGCACAGACGAAAAGCTTAATGAAGAGGCTTAGCCAGAGATGCAATTAGGGGATGATATGGCCTGGGAGTCCAAGGAACCTTCCTTTAAAAGGAAGTTCATGAGAAGGACACTGAAAACTAACAAGTGAATATACTTTTTACATATGCACTGTCCATTAATGGAATGTAAGGATAACATTTATAAACATTTATGCGTTTTGTTTTGTTCAAAATATTTTGTAAAAGAGTGAAATCATTATAAGTCGCTCTACAAAATCCCCAAATTCTTGCTGTTATAAAGTCCCTAAAAGAAAAGAAATTTAAATTATAGCATAAAAAGTATTTACTTAAAATTAGAGTTCTAGCAATACGTTTTAAAAGGGCTTGGAATTATAAATTTTTTAAATAAAACGATGACTTAATGCCTTTTCGCTATCCTGAAAAACTAAATATATTCAAAAAATCCAACTGTACGAATATTGTCACAGAAATCTAGATTTATTTTAATAAGAGAAAACTTAAAATAATATTGTCATTCCATATTTTATTCAAAACAAAGGGCAGGCAAAGTGTACCACAAAATCCCGTTGGGAAATGCTTTTTTTGATTGATTGTCGATTGGCAGCATCGACGTTGATTTCTCCACGAATCGTCGCGGCTTATAAATAAAATATCAAAAAGGTACAAATCGGCACAGCCGAATGGCAACAAAACAAAAACCGGGCCAAAGCGGAAATATTTATTGGCTCGCATCAAATGAAATATGCCATCAAAATCGTCTGGCTGTCGCAGTGACACCTTTCCCATGTGCTCTCAATCAAGCGTGAATGCGGGCAACGACTCCAGCTTCCTTCCGCCTCCTTTTCTATGTGCCGCTGACATCAATCAAATGCCAAGGGGAATAGGTGGCACATTTTTACTAGGTCTTTAAGCATCCAGCAGAAGATAAACAGTCGCAGGGAGACTCCCTTCCATCCATCCATCCATATGTGGGTCGGAACTTGGGGATTTCCGCTGGCAGCACTTTTGAAGTGGGCTTATGAATCGGAAGGATTCCCCAATGACTCTCCTCTCATCAGGTACTTAACTAAATGATTTCGTAATGCCTTATAGACCGTTTTTGTAGCACGAGAGTGATGCACAGGATACCAAAGCAATGGTATGTCCTGCGATAGATATAAACTAGTTCTTGAAATTTAACTTATCAGTAAAAATACTAAATAAAAGCCCATTCAACTGGCTTTAATTTCACACTTTGATTCGGATTGGTAGTCCCATAACTTTTCGCAGACAATTCAATTTCGTTTTGGGTGAACGGATTGGTGTGGCCTGCCAGCTCGGCTTTACTCACTCCCGCTTGTGTGGCATCTATCACTTTATATTTATGACTCTGACTGATCCCGCGCACACAAAAATCGATTCAGTGCCAGGGGAATGTTCTCTTAAAGGCCAATTTGCGGTTATTTATGGGGTCAGCTGACGAAAAGCCAAACGCCAAAAGATTAAAAGCAGATAAAATATATTTAATAGCCCCCGAAAGGCCGCTCCTCCTCCCATTCCAACTCACTCGCGACAAAGGACTTTTACCAGGATCAAGTACCCAGAAGGGGGTGCAAATTAGAGGGAAATTAATGGATAGCTCCAATTAGTGTTGGATTTTTGAAGTTGATGTGATTATTACTCTGTGTCCCCAGCTCCGGCTTCGACTTAAACTCTAACCCCACTTTCCAACCACTGTATCTGACGTACATCCGGCATTGACGTGCGGTCAATAAAGTGCGTGCAATGACGTGCATAAAAACCAACAGAGAAAACAGCCACAAAGGCACTCAATCAGCCGGAGACAGCGGCCCCACAAAGACCGGTGAAATATTGTCAAGTAATCGCTGTCCGAATGCTCCTCCTCCTCCTCCGAATGCCTTGATGTTGTGAGGGAGTAACATACACACAACGATGGGTCCTTGGTCCTTGTAAGTCGGTTGAAAGTAGTGGTGAATAAAAGCAGCAGTCGAAAGATACAGGACAGTCTACAGTAGAATACCCTGCCATCACTTGGAGTTGTGGGAATCTTCTTACTCTTATCAGTATTATTTATTATTTCCAATTTTTAAAGTGATTTCTAAAAGCACATGGCAAGGAATTCTCTTGTAAGTTGTAAGTTTCCAGTTAAACTCTTGATCTAACTAGATTGCATAAAATGTCAATGAACGATTGGCTTGAACAAAATCAATAAATTAACTATACCCTGAACCCACTCAACAAACTATTTAATGCAGAGCATACTTTCGGGCAGGAGAGAGTAATTTTCTTTAATGCCATCCCCGAAACCATTTCCAATCCCACGTCTACAGCAGCCCCCCTGATAATAATGTATCCAGCCCAGCACCAGTTCGGGGCTCGTCGAACGCACAAAATAAATGAAAACATAAACCCGACTAACCAAAAAACTGATTACTACATGCCTTCCTTCCTCTTTCTCGTTCTCGTTCTCTTTCCCTTGTGCTCCCACAGGCAACCATGCTGGGAACAATGGCGATAACAATCAAACGCCCGTGCGTAATCCGCCCGGAGCATTTCACAATTCTGCAGGCTCACTGGCGCAGCATAATCTACTTGCTAAAATAATGCGCGGCATTAAAACGCAATCATTTGGGATTTTCAAACGTTTATCGAGCGCTCTGCCAACACTGCCAGCTCTGCCGGCGGCACAGGACTCGCTCTGGCTGTCGACGTTATCGCCGCCATCGCCGCCGAGTCGGTGGCGTATGAGTAATACGGAGGGCCAGCCGCCCAATTCACCGGAGACCGTTGTCAACAGCGATAGCACCGCCCCGGCTGGATGCTGGGAGAGCAGAAGTTATGGCGGCGGCAACAATATCACCGCCACCAGGCCGCCATTGTGGGCGCGGGCATCGCGCATATTTCACATTGCTCATACGCCGTGTGGCGCGTCAACGCAGCATTCGCAATGCCAACGCCTATGCGAACGCCACTGGCAATGGTTGTGGCAGTGGCAGTGGCAGGGGCAGTGGCAGTGGCAATGGCCAATGCTCATTTGCATAGTAATATTGGCTGGATGTTTTGTTCGGCTGCTGCCAATGCCGCTGCATTTTATCGGCCGCCACATCGCCCCATTTTCTATTAGCACGACGCACAGGCATCATTTAATGTGCACATTTTGGGCCACTCGTGGTAATAAGGTTGTCGCAAAATACACCGCAATGAACAGAGCCCTGCCAAACACACTCACCGTGCCCCGCTTTCGAAAGTTTTCAAGATGAAATCAAATAATTGCAAAGGCAACAAGAAACTCATTTGGGGCACAAGAGCAGCGTGGAAAATAAAAAATCAAACCATGGCCAGACGAAGCAGGAGCAGGAGCAGGAGCAGACCAAGGACTTGTACGAAGGCACAGAAAAATCAGTCTGGACAACTGCAGCAGCGAGGTATACATACAAACACAGACGGATACATAGTATTAGGGTTAGATATGTTTATATTAGAGCGTAAAATGAAAATCGTGCTAAAAAAGAGAGTGTCAGCGGAGAGCGTATAAAGGCGAATCGATCTGGGTAAGAAATAATTTGGAAGGCGAACAACACTTGTAGCTAACAATATCAAAATAAATAAACAGAGCATATGAAAAATACTGTATAATTCATATATATTTACAAAATTAACTTTACTTTTAAAGTGCTCTATTTGAAAATCATTTTCATAATTTTATTCTTAAAGTTTTGACTATGATGAGCCTGTTTAAATTATTTCTACTCCTTGTTTTCCACATCAATTGTAGAAAAGCGATATGCCATTTCGTTAAAGCAAACATGTGTTCGCCATAATAGATCCAATTAAGTGGAAATAAATTGATTATGGCCTACAAGAACAACAACAGCAAAAAATACAATATAACTATGGAAAGAAGTGGAAAAAACGGTTAATCAAATTTGCATTTAGATGAAAGTATTTACGCATACCCATACCTAGCGAATTTACATAGTAAATTTAGCAGAAATTTAATATAAGAACTGAAAGAGATAAAAAACAAAACATGTGAACCACAAAATAGCAAGGCAAAAAGTGTTAAATTAACTTATCTATTGGATGTATAAAGACCCCTTCAGCATAATTGATAAAGGCACAAAGCAAATAAAACTCTTTGCTGAATCATCATTAATTTAATTACAACTTTATGACAGTTTATTGGTTAAAAATTCTAATTTAGTATGAAAGAAACATAAACTAGTATTTGATAAAAGTCCCCTTGTTGTTATTGGAAATTTAAGTCTATGTTAAAATGTACATATTTCAGAAATATAAGCTTCAATGAGTATTAAATAAGCATAATGAATCTTTGCTGTAAATATGACAGAAAACTCTTTGTATAAACTGTGACAACTTCGATTTATGCCTAAGCCTAATGGAAATGCAAGATATTAAATGAAAACTATGAGATATCGGTTATATTTTTCATTTTGTAAATAACTGCCACACATTAAAAAAAAATCAGTTAAAACTAATGTTAATAAAATGTTACTTAATTAAAATATGTATATCTTTAAATGTAGGGAAACCAAAAACAATCGGCAAATAAAAACCAAATCGAATTGCTGTTGAAATTTAATGAGAAATATTTATTTAAGAAGCTCAGAAAAGTAAATAAAAACATAAAAGATATATAAATATACTTAGACATACCATACATACTCATATGCATACATGTATTGAGCTCTATATATGTGAATAAGTGAGGCATATCGGTGTGACATATTTGTATGTAATGTACGCAAATGTTTACAGCAAAAATAAAAGAAAACAACAAAAAATTAAGTCTAAAATAATTCCTTTTCAGGCAAAATATTATTCAATGGCAACGAAAATAACCATTTTCCGGACACGTGGCAATTATTCAATTTTCCACCAGAAACCAAGCAGAAGGATAAAATTAAATGCAGGGAGAGAGAGAGTCCAGCACCATGGTTGCCCCATTAAGAGCTGCGCGATATATATAAAATTAAAAAAAAAAGTGTATTCCCTTTGAGTATACTTTTCAGGTACCACTAGGCTCGTCCTGAAATTGCACCTAATTGCCCACATATTCAGGAGAATAAAATAAAAGCGACAAGAAAAATAAAGACAAAAACAGAGGCAAGGCCACAAGGAAAGAGAATAAATGCGTGGACAAGCACAGACTTTACGAAAAACCAGGCACAGCCCATTTTCCTCTTTTTTCGGCTTTTGTTGCAGGATGTTTATAGAAATTGTTGCAACAGTGGATGCAACAGATCCACAGAAATGGTTGCGGTTGCCATTTTGGAATTTCTTCGTGTGGAAATGAGTGAAATTTCCAAGCAATTAGCAATGCCAGCATGGAGGCCAACAGAATAACTCATTGTAGTCATTTTTACCTTGGCGGAAACAGAGCGTATGAATAATAAGGCACTTCTGTCAACATATTTTTTAAAAAGCGCATTATAACTTTCGATTGTGCTGAGAATTACTGTTCAGAGCCTAGTATTTATAATGATTCAGTATTGATTACTTTACACATTAAAACATTAAAACTATAGTTCCTCACTTAAGTAACTGTCTAAGAAAGACACGTGAGTGCCGAATCAAGATAGAAGGGCTAAACCCAATGATACTATAACTCTATTAATTGCAAACAATTTTCAGCTGGCATTGACATATTTTGTGTGATATTTTATAATAATATAGCCCAAGCTCCTATATTTGATCTTCGAGATCTGTTGCCCTATTGGAATATGTGGACAAATGGATAACGTAAGTGTTTAGAGATGATAGATTTTGTCTGTCTCAATATACATTCTAAATTTGAACTAACTGAAGTAGAAAATACTTGTATCATATGCTTATACTTCTTTGTCTCTATATATATTATATTATATTTATAAGTTATTTAGTGTATAAGTAAATATAATAAATCAAAATGAAACTTTAGGATAGAATCAATATTCAAATACAAAACAAATTATTTTACAGCTCAGTTAAATATTATAAATATTAAGTTTATATAAATATTTTATAGCCTTACACAAAGAAAACGTTCAAAATGCACCTGTAATTTTAAATATTTATCTAGTTTTCATTGAAATCCTAAAGAGTAAAATGAATTTTAGTAGGTGAGTAGGTGAGCCAAGTGAAAACCCATCAGGTTCGTCGCCTTGTCTCTATTGTTTTTACACAACTTTTGAGAGTGGAACGATCCTGGGACGAATGCAAGTGGAAAATTCAATTTGTAAAGTGCATACAAGTAGCATCAGGCAAGGCAGACTGAGACCGAGGGGGAATTGTGGAGTCAGCCATATGTGTGGCTGCTCAGCGCCGAGGATATTTGTTGTTACACAAAAGCGGCAGCTAGTATTCCCCGCCAGGGGGAAAGGCGCCCCACTGCCACTCTGCCAGGAGCTGTGTACACAGGCAGCAACAATAAAAGAGGCAGCATAGCCCAAGTTGCAAGTGGCATAAACGTGAATGCGGCAGCAACATTGTAATTAAATCTGCGTCAACACAAGCGTTGCGACGAAGAGATGAACAAAAATGGCCAAGGAGAGCCACCATGGACGACATTTCCCGTGCATATGTAAGGGAGTGAACTTGTGCCTCGGTGTCCTTGTTTATTCACACTTGTTGGCCCAAACAGGTGCACAATCGAGCCAGGCTCAATCAGAGCCGAGTAGAGTTAAAGTTAAAGCAACTCAATTTGCTCCAGTTTACAACTCTGGAACTTAAAAATCTTTATCTGTAATCTTACTGTATTTTTTGAGCTCTTTTTTATAGTTATTAATCTCTAAAGAGCACAACTAAAACATGTTTAGTAGTTTAAAAGGTAATTATTTCGATTATGACTGGCTATAAAGTGCTCTTAAGAGTACTATTTTTATTCTGCAAAGCATACCCACGTATGAGTATATATTTCTCCCATTTCGCATCCATCTTACTTGAGTTATGTTAATTTTCATTGGGCCTGCACGCATATTTGCGGCAATTAAGACAGGCCAGAAACGCATAAATCACGCATACGCCCCATTGAGCCCATTTCCCGTGGCCGCCCTGTTGGCCTGATTTGCTTCGATTAGACAAGCGATAAATATCCAGGGCTAGAGCCGTTCGCCTCTCGAGTGTTTGATGTCATAAAAGGGTTAAACACCAGCAGTCCGCCGTCTTAGCCCACTGAGTTTATTAAGCTGTAAAATATTTTGATAAAGGTCGGGCTGCGAGGGGAAGCGAGCGGCGAGAGAGGAGGCTGGCAATTACCAGGCCCGGTAATATGAGTGGTTAGCCAACAAGAGGATTCGGACGAGTAATGGCCGGATGGAGGGCATAACTTAACGTTCGCCAGTGTTGACGCTTACATCCTTTGGCGGCCACTTATCATAACGCTCTGGCTCGAAATCGAGCGTCTCTGGAGCGACACGCACATGCGCCGGCAATTATGCTAAAAGCGTTGAATTTATAGTTCCCCACACTCGATGCTGGGCATTTTTAACATGGCTCAGCCTGTCCGCATTGGCCACTAAATAAATGGCTTTCAGAGCACGCGTTAATGATGTTGATTGTGGCCCAGGGAGCTAACGGAGCAGACTCTTCTGGACGCCGCCAGCCGTCCCATCCGCGATCCTGCAACGGTTTCATGTTTAATGCTCCGGCGCCACCAGAGGTCCTGCGGGCGGATAGCACGTTCCTGTTGGTCTCTGTCCGGTTTATTTTTATGATGATAGATGGTCCGGGCAACGCTATTCGGTATCTCGCCGGTGCCTGTTGTCAAAAAGGATTTAATGCCATATTTATTAGAGGTGTAAGTGTTTGCATATACAAATGTATGTGTGGTTTGCCGAAAAGGAATGCGTCCAAGCGAATTCTGTTACATATGTATAACTTTGCTTGGCCAACGAAGGTGTACTAAATGGAAAATAGTCTTGTTTTTAGATCTAAATTAATATTTAAGATCAAGTCAGAATTTTTTTTTTCAACAAGCACTTCTCAAACACTAAGGAATTTATCGTAATTTCCAATGAAATGCTAAAAAAAAGAACCTAAAATATATATAAACTATACAAAACGAAGTAAAGCCTTCCAGAAAGGAGGAAAGAAAAAATGGGAGTTAAAAAAAAGAAAGAAAAACATTTGCAGTCGAAACTCATCACTCAAAGGCTGGAGCCCTTGCCTAACTCTAAACCCCCTTTTGGAACGGGCCAGCTAGGAAAAAAAATCGCATAAACAATCCGGATGGAGTGAATGTGGCAGCGGGGATTGCAACGACCAGCAAAATGGTTTAAAACTCAATTAAAGTTTTAGCCGCAAAATAAATGCAAAAACGACGACGGCAGCGTCGACAGGAAAAAAGTAAGTAAAAAAAAACAATAAATAACAACGATTTGGGGATTGCCTATAAACGATTATTTGGATACTCTTACCATTTAGTAACATATGGACTTTGACTATATAAGAATTAGAAAAGAACGTTTATATTTAAAGTAACAGTTCATAGTTGTAAAGTGGCTATAAGTGGCTCCTTTTTGGTAACTCCTTTTTGGTAAAATAACCATTTTAGCAACTAGTCAAAAATAAAAACTACACATATTCATGTTTAATATTTAATGGTTAATTGTTAGGACGACATCAAAGGACCTTTAACATAGAAACTATGGTAATTATAAATTAACAACAACAAACATTTTTCCCCTGTCAGAGAAACCAGCTTCGCATTCTTCCTGGGATCCCCTACAAGTTTTGGCCATCAACGGCAGCCACACCCACCGGAATGGCCGCCACCTACTCCTCTCACCATGGCACTCTTGATGGCTGTAATTCAAATGAAAATTACACAAATGAATTGAATTTCCGAAAAATGCAGCAGCAGCAGGAGCAGGAGCTGGAATGGCAGCATGGAAGGAAAAACTTTGATGAGCCCCGGATCTGGTTCGGGAATGAGCGTAATGATTGTGTGGAGCTCGAGTGGTTTGAGTGCGAGTGTTTTGTTTGTTTGCGATTAGTTTACGCGCCCCTGGCGCCAGAATGCCTTTGGCCAGGATCTGCGCCACGTTTGACTCGCTTTTGGGCTGGAGTGCAGTTGGGCTAACGAGTTGCTGGAGAGCTTCGTGGCAAGTGAGTTTTGGCAAATTTAATGGTGCATTCCGGCCACACGCCGCCTCTGCCGCAAGAGTTTAAATTTGTTTTATTGGAGCGCGAAATCGGCTTTTGTTTTAAATGCTGTTGTTGTGTTCGGGAGGTTAGGGAGGGGGCATATTTGTAAATTGGAAGGAAAAAACCGGAGCCGTACTTACCTCTTAACGAAATCGCCCGACTTAAGGCCTCTGGATCTGCAGTCAACACAGATACAAGCTCCTCGCACCTAATTTAGAATGCAGAGATGTTATTAAAATTAAGGCTTTCAGATGGCCGAAATTCATTAAAATGGAATGTCCTGAAATGCGGCACTGTGTTAATGGCTCATTACACATGCAACTCCACCAAATGGGCGACCCGGCAACGGCGAAACTTTCGCCACAATTTGCGGAACGCGAATGTGGCTAAAATGCGGCAAAACATTAAGTTGAATTATGCAATAAAAAATAATGCAATAATAGTTAAACGGGCACACGGCCCACAAAACCCCACAAAAGTGGGATAAAAAGAATGGGAGCCCTCCTCATGAATAACCTACACATCGCGTTTCATAACTGAAAGCTCTTAAATATGACCAATTATTTTGCTTAACTTATTATCCTGTAAGGAAAGAGTCCGGGTAATAGGCAAATTGTTATTATGTCCTTTGAAATCTCAATCATTTTACGTTATTATTAGAATTTGCTATGCTACTTATTCACTCTATAAAAAGCAGACTCGCCAATAACTGAATTTTTTCTGGCTAACACAAATGTTAAAATTATAAGTAATCGCATCTGCTTACTATGCACAACTTAAACCACCACATTATTTTATAGATCGAAAAATATATGTTATTTAGTCTTAAATATATGATATAAAGTGTTTCCTATCTTTTGCGAATAAGGCTACAAAAACTTTAACCCCATTTGCATTTTTATTGAAACTTTAAAGCATACTGAAAATGCGGAAGAACTCTTTATTTATTTTGCACACTTAATATGACAATACTCTTAATAAATTGCAGTATCTGAACACACACAGAGTTCCGGTATTGGGTTAAATGATAAAATGGGTCACAATATATCTAGTAACGATATTGAAAACTGGGGTCCGAACCATAGACAATGCAACCACATGGATAACCTGTAAGAGGCGTTCAACGAGAGTTAACATATAAAATTAAAATTAGACAACTCAGGAAAGTTAATAAAAGACTGTTCATTAATAACACACATAAAGACATTTATTTGTGACACCAACAACATAGTACGTATATGGACAATCATTTACAAGACTTATGTTAATAAGAAATTCACTCGCTTGCGTTTGGTAAGTACATAATTTGCGGTATTTGGAAAAATAATATCGAAACGGCTTAGTAGGTAATATTTTCTTCGACTGTAATCGTGTGGGGGGATTAGGAGGGTTTTTTTGTAGGGCCAACACCCAGTTTACTGTCTAGCCACCAAACAAGGGGAATCGGGTCCAAACTACTTGGCCAATGCTGTTTATGGCAACTGTTTAATGTAAAATTTTGGGAGCATAAAAGAAACACGGTTGATCAGAATTGTGTAATTATATTGCTGGGTTAATTTAGACACATTGAAGTTATGAAAATAAGGAGAGGAGGAGATTCAGAGAGCCAGAAATAGGAGAAATACCAAAAACTACCAGACTTTGCCACTGCCCTAGGGGCTGACATCTGAAACGAAAGAGAGTTGATCAATTGCAAATATAGAGGATAAAGTCTGGCAGATTAGTGTCTGTGGTAGCTTATTGGTATTGTCTCGACTGCATTTACTGCATATGCTCTGTTTGGGGCTAAATTCATTTAGGATTAGGAGCAAAGCCTCTGGAAATTCAATTAGTTATACTTTGGTAGCACACACAAACATTCAACAAGCTCTAGCTGTCGCTGTCGTAGCGCTCAGATGCCATCACCCAATGCACAAAATTGCAACACTTGAACTTGCCTCGCGGTTTGCACTGCAGGTGCTCTTTGATGTACTGGCAGGGGCACTGGAACTGTCCGCAGTGGCGTCCCGGCTCCAGGGGCGTCACGTCCACCAGTCCCCTCAGGGCCTCCATGCCCCACCGGGATCCATAGCGCAGGAACAGCTGCAGGCCGCGCTCCTGCGGAGATTCGGGGGTAGAGCGGAGATGAGACACGGCGGAGCATACGGATATGGTGCAGATGTGGCATGTGGCACGGGGCACACTGCAGGTGCGGTGTTAGTGGGGTTAGGAACGTGGGTAGTTATGATAATCGGATGGTTTGGATGTGGGATGCAGGTTAGTGAAACAATATAAAGATGCTTAGGCCGAGTACGGCATACTTTTCGGCTGCTGTGCAGTAATTTACATATAAACGAAAACTTGTAAATACACTATCTTAAACATATTAAAGACAAGAAATCAAACAATAGCTAATGAAGGAATTTTTGATTTCGGAAATAAAAAACACAGTAAGGCTGTGTCATGAATTTAGGAAATATTATGTGGGACTAGCCCTTTTGGTACCAGGGTGTTCCACGGATCGAGGCTACACACTAGAAAAAGAAACATTTCCCTTTGTATGTTCAGCAATTTAATCGGTTGACGCTAAATCCAAAAAACAAAAACATTTCAGGATTACAGTTTCGGTGATTAGAGCCAGCAGCCCATGCAGTTGATGCCGCAGCAGTGGCGATGCTGCAGGCTGATCTTGATCTTGTTGCGCAACAACTCCTCCTCGTACTGACACGGGCAGATGGACGACTGCAGATGGCGGGGTGTCTCGTGGACGCCGGCCTCCTGGACGGTCCAGTCGAGACGACGGCGCAGGAAGTCCTTGCCCCAGCGCTGCAGGTAGCTCAGAAATAGCTCCTGGGCCACGGCCTAGAGAGAGCAGTTAGACATTGGATCATGAGGTGCGTGAGTGATCGAAAGAGAGGGTTTTGGGTTGCGAGATGGGTTTGGGTGATGAGATCAACTACTACCTAAGAACAACCCGCTCCGAAGGCAAGAACCGAAAAGCAGAAATGAAAAAAACGTCTCACCTGCTTGCGGGGCACTCGCACCGGCTGGCTACCCTGGATCACGATGTCGTTAAGGTCAATGTCCAGCTTCGCCTCCCAGCCCGCCTTGATGGCCTCGCCGCCCGTCTGCTCGGTGTGCTCCAAGAACTCGTTGAGGAAGCTCACGCATTGCGTGGCATCGAAGTACATGAAGCAGAGGTTTACCTTGTGGCACGAGATGCGACCCCGATCGTCCAGCACCAGCAGGATCTTGTGCCGCACCAGCTGCCGGTTCACGCGCGCCAAGCACTTCTCAAGGCCGCGCGACAGGCGCAGCTTCACCCACATGCACAGGAAGATGGCCGCCGCGTTCAGGAAGAGCCAACCCACGCCGAGGGCGAACAGGGCCACGCCCTGCAGGCCGGAGAAGAGCAGCGCCAGCAGGACAGTGAAGGCGAACAGTATCCAGCAGACCAGGATGCGCTTGTAGCAAATGTTGTACACTGTAAAGCGGTAGTCATTCACCAGCGTCTCCATCGCGTTCACGTAGTCCTCTACAGTTAGCTGGCGGGATTAAGGTATTAATGATCTGGGTGAGTGAGATGAACAGTCTGGTCAGACTCACCGTTAGGCCCTGGGCCATAAGCTCCTCGGGCACCAGCTCCGGACGGAATATGGCAGGCGTTATCCACGGCCATTTCGTGTTGGCCGGCAGAAGGGTGACAATCACATCGCCGTTAGCTGTCGATAGTCAGAAAAGAACATTTAGAATAAGTGCATTGTAAACGTTTTTGTACACTGTAAATATCGGGATTATCGGAAAACATTTATCTCTCTACTTATGCTTTTAAAACCAGTTAAACTTGATTACTACACTTATCGATTAGATTGTCATTATTTTGGCTTATGCTAGAAATCTATAACAACCAAAAATCAGTCGACTTAATCGATCACCTTATGAAAACTCGAAATTATTCTTTTAATGAACTTATACATACATATATCTTGAAGGTAGAAATAATAAAAAAAAATCATTTGAGCTTGGGTGTAGAATTATCAAAACTGTATTATGCAATAAGACCCGTGATTATAATCCGATAAACTTTTAAGAGTCTGATTATACGATATTGATTAAACCTTTTAAACAAAATTAACTAACATTATCTGCGACCAACAGATATGAATCTTGTCATAAATCTTAGTAGCTCTAGATCTTATAGCCATTGATATCTTTCTCTTGGTCTTCACATGGTCAAAGAGAGCAACATGGCTAATTCGACTCAGCTGAATATGCTGGTTACAAATTAAATACATTCTATGGTGATGCTTAAATAATACCCTTGTACAGCGTTATACATTTTTATTGAGCTACGTAAAAAGTATCTAGTAGAGATATGCATACTAACGGGACTAACATATTAATAAATTAGCACAATTGAAAAAAAGGGAACCAAAAGAGGCCCTTTTAATATCTTTATTACTGAATTAAAATTATTATTAAGTGGCAAAAAAGTAATTTGTCATTGTAAAAGATATGTTTTTGCCCAATTAGAACTACATTTTAAAACTGCTGTCGAGATAATTGTAATAAAAAATTATTTTGACTTATGATTAATTGTATTCCCATACACACTAGCCCCTTTGTCGATTTAAAATAATTCATTTCGTTTGAAATTAAAATTAAGCGATTAAAACCGTCATTAATAAGCATAAAATGGTAGTGCTATTAAAACAAGTTCGAAATTATTACTTCACTTATCGATTAGATTGTCTAGTTAGCTTTAATGGCTTCTGCCATTATAATAATCAAATATCTAAAATAAATTTACTGAAAACTGACTTATTTTATCATTCATTAACTATCTAGGTTAATAGTAAGAACAAAAAAGAAAAATAAACATTTATATAATTAAAATTTGAAAAATACTGTTTTTATGCGAGAGTTGATTTATAATTTAATTAGAATTTTTCCATTTAAGCATAATGTAAAAAATCACTATTATATGTTATGTTCTTGTTAAAAATACAACAATTTGCACCCTTTCGTTTCTAAAAGAAAGTGTAAACTAGAGGTTAAGAGACAAATGGATAAGGCTAAAACTAATCACTAAACAAAGTATTTAGGGATGTATAATGTATGGGTTCTAAATTGATTCGTTTTGCCTGACTAATTCTACACAATCGGATTGTAGAATATTTTAAGAAATAGTTAGTTAATAAAGGTTCACTTATTTTTATATAAATCATTTATTATTTTGGTTTGAAAAGAAATAACGTAAATTGAAACCCTGTTATTTAGCTCTTTCCATTATGCATTACGGATTAATTCTAAGGCTGTTCATGTTCCCACTTTTTATGTTCAATTAAGAGTCCTGGAACTCACTCATCATGCCCCTCTAATGGTTACTCACCGAATCCTTCACGAATGCGACCCGTTGAGAGCTCTATCGTCCGCATCCCGGATCCCTGGTCCACTGGCTGGGTGACTCCTGTGCCGTTGGCCCCGCTGCCATTGTGATGGTGGCTGGAAGACGCCGCTGCAGACTGCGCTGAGGAGGGGAGTGCGGACTGCGCTTTTTGGTTTATTAGATGCGGGGTGTGCCGGACCGGCGCCACTGGGCCAGAGGCACTTGCACTCGCACTTGAAGGGGCACTGGCACCGCCGGCAATGTTGCCGCTGACAACGCCACTGCCGGATGCACTGAGATTGACGTGCGTGCTCTCAGTTGTCAGGACAGCGGGTGCCACATCCGGGGACGTTGCCTGGACTTCGGCCGGTGCAGCAGGTGTGGTCGAAGAGACAACCGGGCGCTGTAAAGAGGCAACAATGGAGGGGGTAAATATGCATTGGTCTTGGCCTTAAGGCGGCAAAAGTGCCGCAGGGGTCAGTGCCAGAAAATTATGGAAATGCGCGAGGAAAATCAATTTTATTGATTTTTAGTGTCAGTTTTTCAGCTTTCAGGGGCGCAGCAAGTCGGTAAAATTGTATCTGCTATCCATAAGTAAACTTAAGCGACGGCGAATCTTACTAAGCACAATGTGCGGCAAGGCACGTTCCCCGTTGGCAAAACCCCAGGCCAAAGATAGATTTGCCAAGGCAATCCACTCAAAATGCGCCTGTCTCTGAGCCACCGAAAGCGATCAAATTTATTTGTTTTGCATTTAAGCTTCAAATAGTTCTCACGTATGGCATTGTTAGGTAGTTTCTAAATTTTAATTATCTCTAAGTAGAGTTGGGAATTAAATTTTAATGCTTATCGGTTATGCATAGCAAACTGTAGTGTTATCTTTGTTATATTTGCTATAGAAGAGATAATTTTCGGTAGTTTTATGTTTAAGAAAACGATAATGTCATATATTAGATGCTGATAAAAAAGGTAAACTGTAAACAATTAAAAAAGAGATAAAACTGTCTAATAAGACTATGAAAGGTTAAGAGTGTCATATAAATAATAATTATTTTCCCAAACAGTTTGCATTTCTATTACGCTATAAAATTAGAAACTTTATTAGAGAGAAAACCCTATTAAAAACTATTTCATTTTATGAGGAAAATAAGTTTTCCGTATGTATTGGTAAGCAGATATAAATCATAAGATATAACAAATATTTACTAGAGAGTGCAAAAAGCACAAGGTATCGTAGCAAACTGATATCTCTCAGCGAATTTCATATTTTGTTTACATTTTCCTATTATTCTAGCAGTCTGGTGTGACTTGTGATGTAAACAAAAGCGAATGAATTTCCAGGCAACTTCAAAGGGAACGTTCACTAATCTAAATCAAGATTGACGTTCTGAGCTCAACTGAAGCTGAAAAAATATGAGCCAAGGCCCTAGAAATTATATCGCCAAGGCAAGGCAAAAAAAACACAAACATTTTAAAACGGAATGTGTGTGACGTGTCGGCGTCTAAAAACAAGTCAAGTTAAGGTAAGTTGAGTCAGAGTTTATCACCGGATGGGCCCCGTTTCAACTCCAACTCTCAGCTGAGAGCCGACTTTGTTTGTCATGCGTGCAACGTCCTAAAAATCCAGCCAGAAGAAAGCTAGCTTAGGGAGCTGTGGAACCTCAATAAAGCATTCCAAATGAAATTTAAATATTAAACATATCTAATTATTAATGTGTAAAAAGTGTTGTTCTTAAGAGAGTTCTTTTGAGGGAGAGATCTTTTGAGTGTTATCTCATTCTTCTGTCTACTTTTAAGTTAAATTGTTTAATATTTTTATAGTTCGTAACTCAAGGAGGTTCATTTATCCGAGGGCTGCCTGTACCGCAAACTGGTGTGTGGAGCGAGAGTGCGACAAGGGCCTGGCATGCATTGGAATGCGTTACGCTGCGTCGCAAGGGGGAGGAGGAGAGAGAGAGTAAGATAGCGGGAGAGCAACTGACCTGGACAGGTGTGGTTGTTGTTGTTGTTGTTGTTGGCGACGGATTGCTGGGACTGCGCGAGCGCGCCCTCCGGTTGTTGTTGCTGCTCACCACCGACGGCGGCGGTGGCAGAGTCAACTTGTTTTGTTGTTGCTGCTGCTGCTGCTGCGGTTGCTGTGTGGCATCGCTGTTATTGTTTTTCTCACTGCCGTCTGCCTCATCATCGAACTTAACCCAATTCCTGGGCCTGGCCGTCTGCCTGTCCTCGTCGCTCTCATTGAGAGCCACATCCTCCAGCGGATGGCTCTGCGCCTGCGCCTGTGTCTTGGGCTCCTCCATGGCGAGAGCTCCTGCTTGCTTCCTATTTACCTTTCCGGGGGGATGAGCTGACCGTTGCAGCCAGCTGCTTATTCGTTTTGTTTTCGCCTTTGGCTATTTCGCCTTACATAACCTCAATTCGTATTCACACTTCAGTTGCGCTGTGCTGCCTATTATCGGTTCGTTGTTGCTTCAGTTGTTTTTGCTGCCTTTGCTGCTGTTCCGCTGCACAACGCGCCGGATACGTGTTGGCCGCTCGCGGTTTCACATCCAACTGCCGCAGCCGCGCCCAGCAACAAAAAACACGGTAAGCACACACACACACACACACACGGTAACGGGAGAGGGAGAAAACAACAAAAGTTGGTTCAGAGCGTGAAGCTCGGCTCAAAGGTGCGCTCAGGCCATACCTGTTGCTTGCCGAGCTTTTTCCTCTCGCAAACTCTCCTAAGCAGCACAGAGAGAGAAATTCTAATAGCCTTTGAATAACATTTAAAATAAAATAAAGTTTGTCAATGGGAAATCCATCCTGTTTACTGAAATCGAAACGTATGTGTGCATATATTATATAATATATTTTCTAATATTTCTTATAATATTATTTATTTGAAGCATCATTTAATTAGTCTTTTTCCCCGTGTACCTCTCGTTCTCTCGCGCTCTCTCTCTCCGTCTGTGGAGTTCTGTTTTGATTGCTCACATGACACGTTTTAGCTTTTTTCAAGTATCTGCAGCTGCCCGTTGTATCTGTATCTTTGTGAGTCACACTTCTACCGCGCAATGATCACTTTTTATCTTCGCTTGTTCGGAGCAAATAGTCGTAGCCGAATATTTCGCAATTGCGAATGCTCCTGCTCTTGAATGATAAGGAGCTGGAGTGCTGAAATGTTGAAACCAATAAACTCCGCTTATCAGGTGTAATTATGAGGTGAAATATACATTCGTATCGGTCAGATGTGCAAGTGCTGAAGAAATTTTTATGACGCGACGGTCAGATAATTCGCAGAAATCCCTGTTGCACCTGAAATGACAGTTATAACCAGTTAATAAATCACTTGCGAGACTTAACAGGCTTTTTCGCTTGATTTACGCAATTCGTAGAACCATTATATTGATTTAAGATATTTAATTTAATTTTTAAGCTCCAATATCACACATTATACCAATTTGCATAACCACTAAATGATTTTTCGTTTATTTTCAAAACTTAAATGTTCGCAACTCTGCCCCCTTTACACAATTTTTGGCCAGTAGAAATACCAAACGAAGAATGCAATTTGAAATCAATTTTGACGTTTGTTATGCCATTCAGCTTCGATCGGGTCCTGCTTTCCATGTCCATGTCCCCCCGTTCGATAAGCGGCGCAAAGTGAATTTATGGCAACAGGGCCACGAAAGGATGCGGCGGAAGGATGGCTGGACCGCATAGTTCACGCCTGGACTGTAGTGGCGACTGAAGACCCTGCCACGGAAATCAGCCTAGAAGGATGCTACGCTTTATGTGAAGCCTAAGCCTAGCTTCGCCAGTGTTGCCGATCACGTAAAGGTGGTCAAGCGACTACGTAACAAAGCTTTGAGCAAGCTTGCACGTGCCGTAATGTAGAGCTGCATTTAACTAAAACGCGTTTTGGCATATTTAACAGAGAATTTACATTTGCTCTGAAGACGAAGAAGAGCGCATTTGCCAATTAGGAAATTTTTTTCAAGCCGACTTTCCGTTTCCGTGGGAGGTCTTTTAAATCAAGGTCTAGAAGAGCATAGACGTGTCGGGTGCTCGTAATTATCAATAAATCAGACAGTGGCAGTGAATCGCGTAAACCAAGTGTTGAAGTGGCCGCTGAAAGCTTCGCAGAAAAAGTGAGTAGAGAAGTGCCAAATTTGTGGGGCACAGTGAGTAACCTTTTTGTTGCCCAGGTTAGGAAAACTAGAAAATTGGAGGCAGCAAAGCAGCGTCGACGCACGGCCAGGGCCAAAGGTCGACAAGACCTTTCGCCAAGGGAAAATCCCTTAATTTTGTTACCAGGGCTCAAGCCAGCGGGTAATTATGAAAATAGAGTGTTTGTTAAAGGCAGTGCTTACTGTTTGAATGGAAAAATTTACAGATTGGGCCCTGCAGTAAAGAGTCAAGTCCCTAGGCAAGGGGTACCCCTAACCTGAGGGGATGAAGTAGAGAAGCTACAACCAGCGCAGGAGGAGCCGATCCCCAGGAAAAATCAGGCCAACAGCGCGGATGCGCAACTCATCTCTTGGCCAGCTTCGTGTCGGGAAAAGCGATTAATTCTTTTTTTGTGAAAATTTTGCTAACCTCGCGGGTTAACCTTGACCTGACCCCTGTGTTCTAACCTCCTCCTAATGCAAGTGAAGAATAATTTTAAATAGGGTTTACCCTTAAAGCCCATTTTGGTTACTTTTTCTTCTGAGATTTGTGCGAACAATTTGCTCTAACAAAGACAATGTGATTAATGGCCCAAAACATTTGTTAATATTGGCCTTTGAATTTAAAAACTTATGCTCGAATTATGCTCTCGATCTGCTTGCGTCTAGCCGTGAATTTAATGAAGCCGAATAATGAAAATTTATGCTGAATTTCCAGTATTTAATTTAATTTATTATTAATTTAGTTTTTTTTATTTTTACACCTTTATTTTTTACTTCAAATTAAGTTCCATTGTTGCATAGCAAAAAGAATAATAATATAAGAAAAATAGGGCCATTCGGACTTTAACCCCTTTTTCCAGAGAAAAGCTTCGAGGGAGATCGATCTTCGCCGATGGAAAATTGAGTGAGTCTAAAAAAAACCATTCGAATGAAAACATGCAATTGAAAAAAAAATGAAAATACTTGAAAACTTAAACCATTTAAAAATGATTTAATTTAAAATATACAAAAATAAAATCTCCATAAGCTAATGCAACAATTGAAATTGAAATTGAAATGAACTAAAGACATGAAGTAAATTTATTTTTAATAGTTAATAGAAAAGAGAAAACATGAAGTAAACGAACATTTAATAATACAATTTAAATTTGATTTAAACTTTTAAGAAAAATTATTTCTTTTGAATTTTGTGCACAATTTTTAAACACATATATGTACATCTATGCACCTCCTTACATTTTTACATTTTAATTTTAGCTTATATTTATCTTTGTTAGCTTTAAGTATTGAATTAATTTTATTAAACAAGTTTTAATTTTAAAAATCATGTTAGCTTAAAAACCGGTATATACCGACTCGTAGGATGACTCCACGGTCGTAGGGTCCTGAAGGGATCACCAGAGCCATGCTCTTGCGGCAGGTGATCGTAGGTTGGGTGGGCACAAAGCGAGCACAACAACATCTGTGTCTCTGCATTGTATAGATTTTCTCTCTGTCTTCTCTTCTCTCCACTTCCGCTTTTCTTCTGTCTTCTTTATGTTGTGTGAATTTTGTTTATCATTTCTTCCGGTTTTGTTCTAGCTTTTATTTTGTCGCAGCACGCTCAATTCTAGTCTTTGTAATAATAATGTGTAGTCGTTGTCCGAGATCTGGGTGAGCAAGACCTCCACCCCCAAAGCCGACGAGCTAGAGCCGGAAAAATAAAGCGTGCCCCAGCAGCCCAGATCCTCACCAACCCCGACGAACTTTATGGTTGCACGCTACAGTTATAATTCATTATTATTATTAAGAAAAGTGGCGCCCAAACGTGTGGAGCCTTAGTAAAAAAATTATTTTTTTATTAAGACTCGCGGATAGACAAATTCAACACATTCTACTTTAACTCTCTCTTGTATTTTATATCCTTATTTGCAACAATTTCGTTTTATTTATTCTTGGATAACAGCTTTTTGAATATTTGTATTTGTAACTGTCCAGAATTTTAAAGTTTGTTTGTTTGTTTTAATAAAAATACCTTATTTTTATTAAGACTCAAGGGTAAATAAATTCTTTCTATTTTAGTTAATTTGAACTAGCTTTCAACTTCTTCAAACTGGTGTTAAATTTTTTTTGTTTTGTCTTAATTAGTCTTGGAAAACAGTTGTGATAAATATTAGTATTTCCAACTGGCCAGACTTAAAGGGAAACAAAAGATTTTCCTACATTGAGAGGAAGTGACAAGGTGCCGTTAAATTGAGGAAAACAGAGAGGGCAATACAAAGAGCATTTTCTGTCCCAATTTTATAGCACTAAGTCATGAAACTAGTCTCGACTTTGAACTCAACTCTATGAAAAATTCTGGCATTTCTTTCGAGTCGTGCCATATCCTGGAAAAGTATTTTACAGCTTTCTTTAACTTTCTTTCTAATCTTTTCTTGAAGCTTTATTTTTTTAAATCGTATTCTGGAATACATGCGAACGTGTTTCCGAACTATTCTATGTCCGAATTCGAAATAAATAAGTATCGCTTCCCTTGTTCTGAATAGGTCTTGAACCTAATCAAAAATCTTTTATTTTTCCAGTCTTTCAACTTCTGAGAAAATCAATTTAAAATGACCCTTCGATACGTGTGACATCTAGAGTTCGGTAAATACAATTTGATTACTTTATTCTTGATTTATTCACGATATTTCATCTCATAATTTTCTATATTTTTTGGCTTAATTTATTTAAACATTTTGGCTATATTTATCGCAAAGAAGCAGAGGGTTCTGAGAATTCGATTGCAGCAAGTTAACTGCTATCGGAACAAGATCTCATTTGTCGAATTTAATTTGTATTTTTTCTATTGTTGAGATTTTCTTGGGCACGATGGGGTTAGACCGCTCTCCAGAAAGGGGGGCTGAATCAAGCCCAAGCTATAATTGTCCGATATGTAAGGCAGATATAAACACTGCCGAGGTCTTTGTAACCTCATGCCAACACGAGTTTCACAAGCGATGCATAGAAGCTCACTGGAAGGATAGCGCCCAATGTCCGGTGTGCAAAGTATCTTGTAGACCAGCTATCTCAAAGCCTATAGAGGGATCTGACAGGCAAACCCGAAGTGGCTCGAAGAAACGGCAGCCGTTAGATACAGTTTCTCAGCAAGCATTGGATAATACAGCTTCAACCTCAGGACAAAGTTCACAAACGAACACAAGTGGGGTCAACAATTCAAGCGTTTTGACGGCTAATGCTATTACTTTACTGGCTATGGAGCGAAGGTTACTGGCTACGCTTTCAGAGAGGATGACCGATTTAATTCAAAATTCCGTAACAGATTGTATCACCAGGGCGTTAGCTAATTCAAGTCGAGGTATGGACAGTGCTCAGAGTGAGCATTCTTCACAGCGGTCGCTGGGAA